AGGTTAGTCAAGCAGGACCTGCGTTTCATGAATCCGTGCTGACTGGGCCTGATCACCTGATTGTCCTGTACGTGCCGCGTGATGGCACTCGAGATGATCTGCTCCATAACCTTCCCCAGCACTGAGGTCAGACTGACAGGCCTGTAGTTCCCTGGATCCTCCTTCTGGCCCTTCTTGTAGATGGGCGTCACATTTGCTAACCTCCAGTCAACTGGGACCTCCTCGGTGTGGCCAGGGCTGCTAATAAATGGTGGAAAGTGGCTTGGTGAGCATTTTCGCCAGCTCCCTCAGTACCTTCGGGTGGATCCCATCCGGCCCCATAGACTTGTGTGTGTCTAAGTGGTGTAGCAGGCCACTAACCATTTCCCCTTGGATTATGGGGGCTGCATTCTGCTCCCTGTCCCTGTCTTCAGCTCAGGGGGCTGGGTACGCAGAGAACAACTGGTCTTACTGTTAAAGACTGAGGCAAAGAAGATATTAAGTACCTCAGCCTTTTCCTCATCGTTTGTCACTATGTTTCCCCTCACATCCAATAAAGGATGGAGATTCTCCTTAGCCCTCCTTTTGTTGCTAATGTATTTATAGAAACATTTTCTATTGTCTTTTACGGCAGTAGCCAGATTAAATTCTAGTTGGGCTTTGGACCTTCTAATTTTCTCCCTGCATAACCTCACAACATTCTTGTACTTCGCCTGGGCTGCCTGCCCCTTCTTCCAAAGGTCAAAAACTCCTTTTTTTCCTGAGTTCAGCCAAAGTTCTCTATTTAGCCAGGCCGCATCATACAATGAGGTTGGGAACTTGTCTTGTTGCACAAGAAATATTTAATTTTTATTTGAGTACAGGGCAGCTTCTTTCATTCATAGTTTAACAACAAAACAGAGTTGTCTGCAGAATTTTTTGTTACAGCACATGCACTTTTTTTTTTTAAATAGCCTATTTCATGGAAGGAATTTGCCAACATCCACCCTTTTGTGCCCCTGGATCAAGCTCAAGGGTATCAGCAGCTTTTCAAGGATTTAGAGAAGGACCTATGTGAGATTACTGGCTATGACAAAATCTCCTTCCAACCAAACAGGTAGGAAATTTTTTCTGAACATTTGCTCCTTAATATGATTCCAAAAACTTATCTCTAAAGAAAATGTGCAAGCCAAAAGTGGAAGAAGTTTCTAAAATTAAATTTGACAAGGAGAAGCCTTGAATGGAAGGTTATAAAAACAAGATTTGTTTTTTCAAAACTGCAGAACCTTATTTTGTCTCGTCTCTTCTACAAGTTTAATGATTTGGTCTTTTCTCTTCTTTTACTCTTTTTTCCTGTGTTTTCCTCTATATGAAGGCTAGTTTTTCCACCATTGCTTGCTTAAAATGGTGATGTTACTGATATCCTCCTATAAGCTAAAATTAAAGATTTGAAATAGGAATAAGCTGTATGAGCTGGCAACTATATAATTGTTGAAACTGGTATTTGATGCACTAGGTAATACTAGGTTTGAATGAAGAATGCCTAGCATCTGCATGCTGACTGAAATAAATAAAGCAGGGCTGAATGAATACTGCTGCAGCCTGTTTATGTCTGTTAGTAGTTTTGATACAAAATGAGCAGCAAGGACTTACTCTACACTTAGGATGTCACTGAAAGAGTTCTTATGTTTCACTGTGTACACTTTACTATGCATTTCAGTATTAGTTTGCCAGTCTGTAGCCAAGCACATAGCTCCCTGCTAGGTGCAGAAGTGGGGATCAACTCAGCCACCAAAAGGATTTAACGTCATAGTGTAAGCGTGTAAAATGGCATAACTTTTTTCATCTACTGTTTGCAAAACAGGCAAGAGCTGTTAATTAATGCTTGTCAATTTGTAATTTAATCCATGGGATGTGCTGCGTTTAATTTGCTGACACTTGCCTAAAGCCATTGAGAAGGATTAGGGCTGGACAATTTTGAAGTTTCTGTAGAGAGCTGGCACTTCCTGGTTTGTGTGCTTGTGTAACAGGGTTTGTGTTCCTCTTGCAGTGGAGCCCAAGGAGAGTACGCAGGTTTGGCTGCAATCAAAGCTTATTTAAATGCAAAAGGAGAACGTCATAGAACTGTAAGTGTCAACACTCATGTGGGGAAGAGCTTTGGGTGGGAAATGGAGAAAGGAGAGTTGATTCAGCAGCTGGGACTCACCTAGAGAGAAGCTAGGTTGTGTATCCTCATCTGTGACAAGCATTCAGTATTCCCTGCTTCCCTCATGGATCATGGGTATCATCTTAAAAGTCTGTCTTTACTTCACAGACAGTGGGAATCAGGAAAGGAGACTCCCTCAAAGGGTGGTTGTGCTGGGTCTCGCTGGGACAGAGTTAATTAAATTTCTCCATAGCAGCCCATATGGTGCTGTGCTTTGGATTTGTGGCTAAAGTAGTATTGATAACACAGGGATGTTTTGGCTTTTGCTGAACAGTTCTTGCACAGTGTCAAGGCTTTCTCTCTTTCCCCCTCTGCCGTGCCCTGCCCCCTGTCGTCCCCCCCAGGGACAAGAGGTTGGGAGAGACACAGCCAGGACAGCTGACCCAAACTGACCAAAGGGATGTTTTATGCCATATAATGGTACGCTCAGCCATAAAAGCTCAGGGGAAGGAAGACAAAGCAGGGAAGGTCATGGTTGTGGCATTTTTCTTTCCAAGCAACCATTATATGTGCTGAGGCCCTGCTTTCCAGGAAGTGGCTGGACATGTGCCTGGCCATGGGAAGTAATGAATGAATTCCTCCTCTTGCTTCACTTGCGCACGTGGCTTTTGTTTTCCTTATTAAACTGTCATTCTCTCAATCCATGACTCTTCTCCCCTTGCTTCTATTTTGAAGCATCTCCCATGGGAGATGGGAGTGAGTGAGCAGCTCTGTGGGTGTTTGGCCATTGGCTGGGTCAACCCATCACAGTCTTTTTTAGCATCCAGCGTGGGGCTTGAGGTAATGACAGTTTTGATCTGAGCATGTTAATTTGTTAATTGGCAGGCTCCTGTGTGGGTCACAGAGCTTGCTTGCTTTACTGTGTATTAGAGCCTAGGGCTTTTTAATGGCTGCTTTTGGCTCTTGCAGTTTGCTGTGCTGCTTATCAATGTATTTTGCTGTGCTTGGAAACATTTTGATAAGAGCAATGGCCGTATGCCTGGACTGGCATATAGTCCTGGCTGTGATGCTATTCCTGTGCTGCATGAACTACCTTGCAGAGAGAACAAGGGATTATACCTCCCTCTCCTCCTCTGGGGTTGATCTGTCCAGCTCTGTTGTGTGGGCTCCTGAGTTTGTTGCACATCCTTACGTACGATGTTTGATCCTATTATCTAACATTGTGTGGAACCTGGTTTGGTTCTGGCGTAAGAGTAAACAACTTGTTGTTGAGCTGACAGAGAAACGTGCACTGAGGCAGTTGATCCTTGGGTGACAGTGTGTGTAGGAGGGTTGGGGCAGGTGCCTAGGGCTGTTATCACCTGGGATTTTACACCTGAACAGACATGCAATCCCACTGAATTGGCACACTACTTGATGGAAGGGTGCCTTGCCTACCCCAATGAGACCCAGCAGCTCCTAGCACTGTTTTGGGGTTTGGCCTGTGCCTGCTGGGCCTCTCTCTAGCACCGTCACAGCAGCAGGGGAAAGTGGGCCTCTACTTCTAAACACATGATGGTTGAGACAGGGACTCAAACCTCAACCACAGTGACTGCCCCAGCAGTAAAAAGGAAGCACTGGCAGTGGAGGTCAACAGGACTGTACCATCAATTAGTAAAGGAAGAGGAGGAAGTTTCTGATCAGGAAGCCAGTCCTTTGGCAAGGAAATGTAAGGAGGAAGTAATACAAGTCACCCAAGAGGCAGAAACCACCCCATCCCTAACACTGAGCAAGCTCCAAGACATGCAGAAAAATTACGGCTGCCAACCAGGCAGGTGTATTGCTGCCTGATTGCTCAAATGCTGGTATGCTGGAGGGGATAGTCAGCAACTGAGGGTAGGGAAGCCCAGCAGCTGGGATCCCTCACTAGGGACCAGGAATCAACAAAGAAATCAGAAGAGAGTTGACAATCTGCAGCCTCTAGAGGTGGTTCCTGTTGAGTGTGAGGCATCCTCTCAAGAGTCATCTTGTCAATTACTGAGGTAGTTGAACCCCTGCTGAGGAAGGTGTTCAGTATCTAAGAGAATTAGCAGTGGTGGAGGTGGTCTACACTGACTTGGACAATAAACAGGTGTCCACATGTACTTCATGACATCCAGTACACCTGGGCCATGTAGAGGAGGTCTGTAGAAACTGCATCAGTGTCATATGCCAACTCACTGGTGATGATGGACTGGCCACTTCTTGAGATACCAACTGTGGAGAGACTGTCTTGCTGGTTCCAGGGTGTTTCAAAGAGAATCCCTCCACTTCTCATCCCCACAGGCACTGTCTTGGCTGTCCGGTGCCCTATGGAGTCAGCCACCCCCTGCCAGAGGGAAAGGGAGCCCCAGGTGCACACCACATGGCACCGTCTGGTTCTTCGTGCATGGCTGGGGCAGGACATGGGGAAGAGGGACAGTGCACTCACCTTGAAGCTAGAAGCCCATGTACCTGAACTGCAGGGGAAGACAGCAGCCAAGAAGGGACCAACCAAGAAGGCTGCTGCACCAGTTGCTGCCAAGACAGTGAAGAGTAACCAGCAGTCCCCCAAACACAGAATAAGGGCTCAGAATGCCTCTCCTCCTGAGTTTGGTGAGGGGACTTCTGGTCTGACATCACAGGAGTCAGAGAGTGAATACCACAACCAGGAGTAAAGGGTCCCTGCCTCTGGCTAGGCGGAGGAAGGGGATAACAAAGTTTAACAGATTTGATGGCCTGGCACATCAGATCCATGGGGGTATAAGGCTTTGGTGGATACTGGTACACATAATGCCATCAGGGTAGGAGGGGGCAGGACCCATCTGGATTTGTGGAGTGACAGAAGGATGCCAACAGTTGTCTGTGTTAGAGGCTGAGGTGAGCCTAACAGAGGACAAATGGCAGAAATATCCTATTGTGATTGCCTGGAGTCTCCATGTATCCTTGGCATAGACTACCACAGGAGAGGGTATTTCAAGGACCCAGGAAAGTATTGGTGGGCCTTTAGTGTAGCCACAGTGGACACAAAGAAGATTAAACAACTGTCTGCCTTGCTTGGCCTCTCCATTGTAGGGTTGCTCCATGACAAAGAACAGCAGGTGTTGGTTGCTACCATGATGGTGCACCAGTGGCAGTATCGCACCAGCTGAGACTCCCTGGTTACTATCCCTGGAAAGCCAACGAGTGATAAGCAAAACTTAATAATCCTTAAATAGTCCCATAAGGCCAGTACAAAAATTCTGACACAGGGTGGAGTTTAACAGTGGACTATCATGGCCTGAATGAAGTGATGCCACCATTGAACGCTGCCGTGTGGGACAAGCTAGAACTCCAATATGAACAGGAGTCAAAGGCAGCCAAGCAGTATGCCATAACTGATATTGCCAAAGCATTTTTCTTTATACCTTTGGCAGCAGAGTGCAGGCCACAGTTTGTTTTCATGTGGTGGGGTGTCCAATATACCTGGAACTGACTGCCCAGGGGCTGGAAGTACAGCCCTACTTACCTATCAGTCTTACCTATCTGACTGATACAGACTGCACTGGAACAGAGTCAAGCCCCTGGGTTTCAGTACTCTATGTCAATACTGACTCATGGACGGTGGCAAGTGCCCTGTGAGGGTGGCTGCGTCATTGGAAACAGACCAACTGGTAGCACAGAGGTAAAACCATCTGGACTGCTGCCTTCTGGCAAGACATTGCTGCCGAGGTAGAAAGCATTACTGTAAAGACGCTCACAAGCCCAAGGGCAGCACCACTGAAGAACACCAAAACGACGAGCAGGTAGACCAGGCTGCCAGAATTGAAGTCACTCAGGTAGATCTGGACTGGGAACTTAAGGATGAGTTATTCATAGCTCAGTGGGCCCATGAAACATCATGATGTTTAGGGAGAGGCCTAAAACCTACAGATGGGCCTGTGATCAAGGGACGGACCTAACCATTGAAGCCATCACACAGGCTACTCATGAAAGTGAAACAGTGATTCAGATCTTCAGTGAAATGGATCTAGGCCCGGATGTCCATGCCTTGAAAGAAAATGGGCAATGCTAGTTTTCTGCTTTTTCAAGCTGGTATGACACTCCCTCTCCAGCTTTTTCAGTTACAAAGGGAACAGGAACTGATTGTCTAAAACTTAACACTGCTTATAACGTCAGTTGGTTCCCTATATAGCCATTCCTGACGGAAGAAGCAGACAAGCCTCTGGTATGCCTTGGCAGCTACTCATAGAAGTCTCTAGGTTCATCCAGTTCTTGTCCATTCAAACTGTTTCAAATGAATTTCTGTAGGATATATGGAGGTAACCTTGCTTCACAAGGGCCATAAAAACTGTAGATGAGTAATGCAAATCAGTTTTGATTCATTGAGGATCATCTTCAGTTGGTAACGCTAGAGTCTAAAGGCTTGGTTTCTATTCTCTTCTATACTAACTGCCTGAAACTTTGACGTCAAGGAGTCACTTCTCAGCTATATCATTGTAATCTGACAAAATAGAGTTCTTGTAAACCTGAGAGGTGATACAACTGTAGTTAACCCCGAAAAGGAATCAATTCTTAATAGTACACTAAGTTTAATAGAATTTTGAATTCTAATTTTCTTTTAAAGAGAATTCTTTATTTGCATTTAATGACAGGCAGTTATAGCTGAAAAATCTGGAAGTAATATTGTTCCTGTAGGTGCTTTCTGAACAATCTGTGATGCCTGGAAAAAAGGTTGTGTTAGTCATAGGTTTTAGGTGTAAGTTTATTTGGAAGTGAAATAGGTTGAAATACGAAAACGTGAGAAGTTGGTGGCAGCAAGTTTCATTTTGGCAAGATGGTTGCATGTTTGTGATACAAGAACAGCCAGATTAGCCCAGACCAAAGGTCTGTCAGTCCCAGCATCCAGTCTTACAGTGATCAATAGCAGACTGATAAAACTCCTCTTACAACGAGGAGTACAAGGACAAAGTAAGTACACAGTGATACTTACACAGCACATGGCCCCAGCCTCTACATATCTGTGGTTTGGGAACTTCCTGATCCAAAGGAATCCAAAGGCACTGCTTATGCATTTTTCTACAATTAAATCTGATCACTTAACCCTTATGAGGAAGCTTCTGATATTTACACTATCTTGGAGAAAACGTTCTATGGCTTCATCACCGATTATCATATAATCATATTTCTTCATAAGAAATGCTTTCGCTTATTTTTTTGAACTTGACATCTTACAATTTCATCTAATACTCTCTTGCTCTTAAAAGATGATGAACAGTTCTTCCCTGTTCACAGTTGGCATATCATGTGTTAATTCTGAATTTTTTATTATATCCTTATCCATCCTCATTTCTGTCTTCCTAGTTGGATTCCAGTTATTTGTCCATCCTTCCCAAAAAAGCCATCTTATAGCTTTGGTTATCCTCAGAGCTTCCGTGTTTATTTTCTATTTCCTTTCTAGTTTTTAATGCAGTTGCTTTTTTTCTCCCCAACACTGCAAGATCTTTCGAGTGGTGATAGGTTCAAACCCACAATCCGAGTTGTGTATCGTTAAGATTTGTTTTCTTGTGTAACATTCTAGATCTGTCTGGCTCCAGTATATTCTGTTTTGAATGCTGTTACTCAGTACTGTGGGTTCTTTTCTGAACTATGCAATCCGTTCTTTTAGAGACCTGGGTGATTTTGTATTAACAGGATATCTAGCATTTCACTGTATGTCTCCATTATAAACCAATTATGAGTTAGTTGAAATGCTAGGGAACCAGTACAGATATTTGTAGTGTTCTATTAGGATGACCTTTCTCCACAGTAAAAACTGACTGTTTATCTTTTTGTTTCTTTCCTGTGTTTTCATGAAATACTTATCCATGTGAACCTTCCCACTTACCCCACTGGAAATTATTTTAGAAACGTTTTTTGGGACCGCATCAAAAACTTCTTGGAAATCTGAGATTAGCTAGATGTTCCTCTTTCGCACTCTCATAGAGTTGGCTTTGAACAGTAGGAAAACATTCCTTAATGCAATAATATCTGTATTTTCTGTACCTGATTTTATACTTGGCTTCGGAACTCATTTGTGTCCTCAAAATGGAAGGGTCGTTGTCCTGACCTCCTGGGAACTATAACCTCTGTGTGAGGAAACTACCTAAAATTGAACAGTGAGTGTTGTCTTGTTCTGTCTTTGTTTGTTTGTTGCATCCAGATCACCTCAAACTTCTTGGAAATCAGCCACTCTTTACAATTACAAGCTTTGTTTTTTGAGTAGTTTTACTCACTGGGAAGTGAAATTAGGTTGAAATTTTTTTCCTTGGATAGTTATCTTCTGATTATCCATCTACACTTTGCTGTTTCGCTCATTCTGTGCAAGATCCTTGGGCTTCTGGAGTGTCTATGGTTCTTCTATGCTCAGAAATACCCAGAGGTAACAGCACAGAAGAGAGAGCCTGCGGGCTGCTTGCAGTTACTCATACTTAACAGATTTCAAACGTTACAGTAAAATCAAGATAATCTTGGAAAAAAAAGGGGGGAAAAAAGAAAAGAAGAAAGCCCACAAAATGTTGACCTTTCAACTGAAGTTTCTCCTGGGCTGGAGAAAGTAAGTAAACCAGCAGATCAAGCTTCTTGCTGTTGGCCTCATTTGAATTTGGTGCCCTCTCGTGGAAAAGAAGTATCGACATTAACTGACAGCTCACATCTGTCTGTTTTGTTGCCTGGTCAATAACTTCCGAACCCAGCAGCTGCAGATGCAACCCAGCAAGACTGGCTGGCAATCGAGACTCACTTTACATTTCTGCTATGCAGCTAAAATGACTACAGATGTGCCACAGCGCTTCCCAGCACCGGGGCTGGGGTCCTTGTGTTTCCTTTCAGCCGCACAGTAAAACGTTGACAGTTCACTGCAGGAAGAGCAAATATTCTGAGGTGCTGAGACAGATGGGTCAGTTCCTTGGAATAGCTTTTAAAGTCATTAGCATTTGTCTCAGCATCTCTATGGAACATGAGGTAGAGACCATTGTGCAGTTTCTCATGAAAACAAAAGTGCCTTACTGTCAGTTATTTAATGCAGCTAAGTTGAGTAAATAAACTTACTTAAATAAACTTAATTGAATTAATCCTTCCAAGAGAATCATAATAGACAAATGTTTCAATATCCTCATTGAACAGAAGCAAAGGAATTTTTTTAGAGAAGGTATATCTGTTGTCCTTAGAAGGGATGGAGTTCCTAGCAAATGTCTGGAAATATCCTGAGCTCCATTTTCTTCTCACTAACAAGAATGTACATTTATTTAAGTAAAAGTACTTCTCTTTTTTCTTTTGGAATTAATTGTATAGAGCATGTAAGTAGCTGTCTGAAACTTCTTAGCTATAGCCAAAATATTTGTCTAATTTATTGTTTTGAATAGAATAGAGAAGAAAATGCTTTGGAAGTCAGCTGAAGATGTAGTCGTGTCATGGTTTAACCCCAGCCAGCAGCTAAGCCCCACACAGCCGCTCGCTCACTCCCCCCTGGTGGGACGGGGGAGAGAATCAGAAGGATAAAAGTGAGAAAACTCGTGGGTTGAGATGAAGACGGTTCAATAGGGAAAGCAAAATTCGTGCATGCAAACAAAGCAAAACAAGGAATTCATTCACTACTTCCCATCGGCAGGCAGGTGTTCAGCCATCTCCAGGAAAGCAGGGCTCCATCACGTGTAATGGCTACTTGGGAAGACAAACACCATCACTCCGAACGTCCCCCACTTCCTTCTTCTTCCCCCCGCTTTATATGCTGAGCATGACATCATATGGTATAGGATATCGGAGCATGACATCATATGTTATAGGATATCGCTTTGGTCAGTTGGGGTCAGCTGCCCCAGCTGTGTCCCCTCCCAGCTTCTTGTGCCCCCCCAGCCTAAGTGGGGTGGGGTGAGAAGCAGAAAAGGCCTTGACTCTGTGTAAGCACTGCTCAGCAGTAACTAAAACATCCCTGTGTTATCAACACTGTTTCCAGCACAAATCCAAAACATAGCCCCATACTAGCTACTATGAAGAAAATGAATTCTACCCCAGCCAACACCAGCACAAGTGGAAAGTTGGAATTGGACAGTTTTTCCTTTCAAGTCATTGCACATATGAAGACTGATTACTGTAAAAAAAATTAGTCTTTTAAAAAAAAGAGGGGTGAGAGGAAAGGATTTTAAATGTGAGTATCTGAGATAATATTCTGGAACTGCAGCCCTAAATATGATTTAAGCAGCAAATGAAACTTTATTTTCCTAATGAATATTTAGATGCTGATACTTGAGTGGATTTTCTTCAAAGAAAATTGAGTTGCATCCTTCAGTACAAGTGGCAATTTGCCAGTGAACATTCCCTCAGAATCCCTTTTGAAAACGTTGATAATGAGTTGTAGCTGAGCCTAGACCATAATGCTTTAAGATTTTTTAACTACTACACTTTAGCCCCTGCTTCTTTTTCCCTTCTAAGGTTTGCCTTATTCCTAAATCTGCTCATGGTACAAATCCAGCAAGTGCACAAATGGCAGGGATGAAGATTCAGCCAATTGAAGTGGATAAAAATGGGAGCATTGATATCTCCCATTTAAAAGCAATGGTGAGTACTTAATTATCTTTAATTTTTGAGGCAGGAACACTCCTTCTTCTCTACAGGTAATAGTGTTGGCAGCTGAATCAGATTTTTCTTTGAGAGAAAATAGGACAATAGTGGATACGTGCTTGAAAAAGATAAGTAATTCTTTCCTTTTTTTTTCTCACTCAGACAGTAGCCATGTGACATTTGTGAAATTTCCTTTAATTTGAGGATCTTTGGTGCAGGAGTGGCTCAGAGAGTCTTTCTACACAGTGGGCTCTTTTATAGCAGACCTTTTTGGTCCACATAGAGTATTTGAAATGAATGAAGCACGTTCATGAGTGTGAAGCATTTGAAACTGCACTTTAGCCTTCACTTAGCAAAGTTCAAGCCCATCTCTGCTGGGGAAGGTGTTGCTAGGCAACTTTTTTCACTTTTTTGAGTAGATTGGCTGCAGGTGAATCTTGGGAATCCAAGGGGTTAGCAGGACACATTTCCAAAAATACATATTTGAGCAGTCTTTTATGGTAGTCATAGAACTGTATTGCTGAAAGTAAGTGGATGAGCATTAGATCACACTACCGTGAGGCCAGATGTTTCACTTGGCTTGTCTTAAGGTCCCAGAAGTGACTATTATACATACATCTTTTAATACTATGCCTTCTTCCCTGATTTAAAGTTCTGATTTATTGAGAAAACACTCTTTTTCCATATTGCTGAAGGAAAAAGCCCAGCATCTTTTACTGACTATAAATGACTTAGACGACTGCTGATAGACTTGCTTCTCACCTGTGAAACACTTGATGACCTTAATTACATGTTTGTGTAAAAATCTTCTCTTAAGAAGCTTTAGGACCCCCAATGACCTTTTTTTTCTCTCTTCCTCCCTGCCACCAGGTGGACAAGCACAAAGAGAACTTGGCAGCCATCATGATCACGTACCCTTCCACCAACGGTGTGTTTGAAGAGGAGATTGGAGATGTGTGTGACCTGATTCACAAACATGGAGGCCAGGTTTACTTAGATGGAGCAAATATGAATGCCCAGGTACAAAATCTCCTAGGTAGATTTACAACAATGGGAGCGTACGTTTCCTTGGAATAAAAATAGCACAGCAGTACTCAGTTCAGACCATAACACCGCTTCCTCACATGACGGTACAGTGTTTGGGGGAGGAGGTGAGGTTTCCAAGAACAGTAATAAAAATTAGATGGTGAAAATAATTCTTTTTTATCTGATTTTGCCCTGAAATGTGTTGTAAGATGTATGAGTTGTTCACTGAAATTGGCTTAGTTTGCCTAATCTTTGTCAAAGACATTCTTTACAGACATGAATAAGAATTCCTAAAGCAAAAAATGGTTTGCATCAATTCTTGTTTATGATGCACCAGGTTAAAGAAAAACAGAAAAACATATAACATCTTTTTCAACCTATTTTTCTTGACTGAAGTAATAGGTCTTAAAATGGCATGTAAAGAATACCTTGAGACAGAGTATTCCCTTCACAGGTCGGTCTGTGTCGTCCTGGAGATTACGGCTCTGATGTCTCTCACTTAAACCTTCACAAAACTTTTTGCATTCCCCATGGAGGAGGAGGACCTGGAATGGGACCAATTGGAGTGTGGGTATCTCTTTATTAGCCTTTTCTTTAAAAAAAAAAATCCCTTAGTGAATCTTGGTAGTTCACTTAAGTACAGAGCTATGAATGGGAGAGGTGTACTGTTGTTTGTAAACTTTTGTCCTTCTCCAGGATAGTCACGTGCTGATGTCATGAATGGTGAGGTTCATGTGTATGCCCAAACCCTGACTTTCACATTGGCCCTTTAGTGTGTATGGTAGACCTCGCTCAGCAGTCTGTTTTCTGAGTAAGTGCAGAGCTGATCTGTGGACTTTGAGGGCTGATATTGTACGTAGTCCAGAACGCAGAAGTGGTATATATGAACTAAGTGAATCTATCCTATAGGGCAATCGTATTCCTTTAAAAGAAAATAATGTTATTCTTCTAAAAAAATAATTTTGATTTGGATAGCTGCATGAATATCTTGTGATACGTTGAAAACTGAGTGCCATCCTCCATTGTCACCAGTTATGTTAAAAACTTTTTGTTGAAGAAGACATAGACCAGACTTCCTGGAGGACTGTGTTTGGAAAGAAGGTGAAGAGAAGCTACTGCTGAAACTGTTCAGAAATGGTAACACAGAAACACACATTTAAGTTCTAAAATCCATGTTTTTGTTTTAGGAAGAAACATTTGGCTCCCTACTTGCCTACCCACCCTGTCATCAAAATACAGCTGGATAAGGATGCACGTCCTTTGGGTACTGTCAGTGCTGCACCTTGGGGTTCCAGTGCTATATTGCCAATTTCATGGGTGTATATCAAGGTGTGTAGACTTTTATAAGAAGTATCAGCTGAGGATCTGTTTCTGTTTTAGCAAGTCTGAGGACCACTGGAAACACATAAACAAATTTAAGAGCAACTCGTCATAAGATATTTGCACAGACTGAAATGCATATGACTATGGCAGAGTCATAGGTTATTTACATCCTTCGAACCTCCTTGTTTTCCAGTAGGACAATGGAACAGCCTATTGCCATCTGTTGCAGTGGGAAAGGATGGCAGGACAACTGCTGTATCTATGCAGCCTGCTTAATTCTTCTGTCTCATCTGTAACAATTCTTGAGACAAGTGGACACAAGGCAGAAAGCTGCAATCAGGCTTGCCCCGCCACTGTCTCTGACATTGAAGTTTTCATGTTTAAAAGCTGCTTGGTAATTACTGTTCTTTCAAGAATATTTTTGGTTGTATGCTGCAGTATCGTTATACTTGACCTGTATGTGATATTTAACTTTCCAAGATCTGTTTAATAAGAACTTGAATTCCAGGGCATTTTACTGAATTTGAAAACTGAACTTAGTTTTGGCTTTGGATGTGCAACAACTTGATCATGATCTATGTAATTTTTTAATGCCTTGCAATTTAGTGATAAGCCTGCAAATATTTGGTTACATATATGGAAGTATTCAGGCAACAGAGATCAGCGTAGATTCAAATTCTGCTTGAGAAGAGCGTGTGCTGGGACTCTGAGCAACATTTAAAGCTTTCAGTGAGAGAAAGAGTTGGAATGGTGAACGTAAGGGCAGTGTCATTCAGAGTACCCTATAGCCAGTTTGATATTCTAACCATGGAAACTTCCGCTCCTGGGGAAACCAGCTCTTTTGGAATTTGAAATGAGCCAATATGAGCTGGTACAAATTCCATGGTGGCTTTTCAGCTGTGGGTAAAAATCACTTGTGACTGTAAGCTGGTTCCTATTACAGAATATTTAAACTGTAGTAAATTTTTAAGGGAAGCTGTTTCTTCACAATGTAAAGTGCCGTCTCTTTACACTGTCCCATCTAAAGGGGCTACCTTGAAGGCTGTTTTGGCTTTCTCCTTTGCCAACTTAACTTCTAAGTGCAGTGTTAAGAAATTCAACCACAGCTCAATTCCAGCACTGTCCTTTTGCAGTGCTTTATCAGAGAAATAAGTGCATCTGTGTTCATTTGGCTCTGGTCTTTGTTAATGCACAGTATCATCTGTGACATGACACCAGCAAGCAGAGTTTGAGTTGCTGGGATAACCTCTACAGACAGCACACATGGCTTTTTGGGCAGCTCTCCAGACACTCTTT